AGATGACATGAGGAGACTTGGCTTTCTCCAATCCAGAGCAATCACGGCACTGCTCTCCTTCCCCTAACAAAGTGGGCACTGAGGGGAGAAAGCCAAGAGCAGGAAGAGACGTGTGGGCTCTCATTAGAAAAGTAGGTCAAAGTCTCACTCTTTTGGTCTGCTCCAGGCCTCTTCCCTTGCACTCTTCATTATGTTACGAGCACACGTGACTGTGGAGGGCCTGCAAATCAAGTTCATTGTGCTCATGAGCTGTTTTGTGGCCATCAGCAAGACGAGCCACGATTCACACAAGGAAAAGCTAAACAGTATTATTCTGGTTTGAGATGTTGGTCAGTAACTCTGGGGCAGCCTAGATTAACCTCATTGATGAAAAGGTTTTTTCCTTCTCTGGTAAAAAGATGATTTTATTTTCTAGAGTTATTGCTCTGGAATTTTTCCCAGCAAATTTTTTTTTTTTTTGGTAGTTAATGGAAAATTCACTGGGTCACATTGACTGTCTGATACTTAATGGGTGGAAGTCAGCCCCAGGAGTTAGGCTTCTTGGTATTTAACCAAAGTGGGAATCAACCCACTCTTTGGGCATAGAAAATAAGCCCATTTAGAGGAATCTCATGAATTTTCATCATGAACTAGCAAACATCAGAGGTCAATAGGAAACCAAAATAATAATACGCTATCTTTCTCATGGCTTATATCAAAGACCCCAGTCAAATGAATTATGAAGAGAGAAATTATACTCTTTAATCCTCAGTGCTTTCACTCAACCATGAATGGTATTAATTCAGGGGAGTTGTAAAGAGCATTTCAATGAGAGAGATTTGAAACAAGGAAGAGTAGGTACATGCTGATAGTATAAAGAGGGTCGAATCTAACGTAGAATTTTAAAGTTGGAGATAATCTAGTGCCGCCTAATTACATACACCAAGGGCACGTGACCATTGTCTCTGCAAGAACCAGACTCACCCACAAGCCTTAATCAAATACGGCTTTCTGGGTCCCCCTCCAGAGTTTCGGATTCAGAGTTTCTGGGTGGGTCCAAGAATTTGTGTTTCTAGCAAGTGCGCAGGTGATGCCGCTGCTGCTGGTCCCAGACCACGTCACGAGAGGCGCTCGGCACCATCCCCGCCGGTGGGTTTGTTTGAACACTTCCAGCGAGATGGGCTGTGACTGCTGCCTCTGCCCACAGGGGACATCTTTCCTAGAGCTTTTTGAGGCTGCACGAAGAGTGCTTCCCAGTAACCCTACCCCCGGTCCTAATTCTGCCAGCTGGAATTACTCTGAATACACCTAATCCCCATATAAATGCCTACACAACAGACTTATCCTAAGGAAAAGAGCAGATAGGCTCTGTTTGGCAAATAACGTTGATCCATTCCATTCTAGGGAATGCCTGTTCATTCTGTTCTGCCATCCAACTCCCAACGAGTTCCGATTTTTAAAAAATTGGGGTACACGTAGAATAAAGTGTATAAATCTCATGTGTACAGCTTGATGAATTTTCACATGTGTATACACCCAGACGGCTACTTCCAGGCCAAGACTTAGAGTATTTTCACCACCCCAAAGGACTCCCGCACCCTTTCCCAGTAGGTACTCACCCCCCAAAGGTGGCTACCATTCTTTACCATCATTCTGCGTCCTGTGGACAAAGTCATGCTTGCTCTTTTTTTTTTTTAAAGATTTTATTTATTTATTTGACAGAGAGATACAGCGAGAAAGGGGCACAAGCAGGGGTAGGGGCAGAGGGAGAAGCAGGCTTCCCACCGAGCAGGGAGCCTGATGCGGGACTCGATCCCAGGACCCTGGGATCATGACCTGAGCCAAAGGCAGACGCTTAATGACTGAGCCACCCAGGCACCCCAAGTCGTGCTTGCTCTTGAGCTGTATGTAAATGGAAGTCTAGAGAGTATTCTTTTCTGTATCTATGTTCAAAATGACTACAAGATGCTGCATAGACAGCAGTAGTTCTTTCCTTTTTGCTGCATGTACTATCCCAAGTTTCATCTGTTGAATTGTCTTACATTTAATTCCCTGGCCCTTTTCCTACTTTGTATATTGTTAAGGTTTATAATAACGTTGGCTGGCATGAATCAGAATGGCCCAAGTACAGTCGTTCCCCCTTACCCATGGTTTCGTGTCCCTCAGTCACCGTTATCCCCGGTCACCCACGGTCCTGGAAGCAGATGGTCCTCGTTCTGACATGTGGTCGGAAGGCAGTAGGAGCTTCATGCTGTGTCACAGCGCCTACGTTCCTCACCTCACTTCATCCAGCACGTAGGCACTTTATCCTCTCCCGTCATCCTAAGAAGGATGATACTTTGAGAGAGAGACCACATACACATAAGTCCTGTTGCAGTATGTTCTAATAATTGTATTTTATTATTAGCTGTTGTTGTTAATCACTTACTATGCCTAACTTATAAATTAAACTTTGAATACATATGTATGTATTCAAAAAAGCATAGTATATACAGGGATAAGGGTGGGGATAAGGAGGGACTACGGTCCATGACATCACTTGATCTTTTCAATAGTGTGAGTTTGGTAGACCATTAACCCATTTTGCAGATGAGATAACCAAAGCTCGGTAACTTGCCCAAAGTCTCACTGGTAAAGAGAGGTTGAGCCAGTATCGAATGCAGGTCCTTCTGACTCATTCATGATTCCGAGTTCTCAGCTGTGTTATCATGCCTCTCACTCTTGGTGCTTTACCAGTAATCACCGCATGAGAGACTGACTCAGAAGGGCATGCAGGTTCCTTCTCTTTCAAAAACGTTTCCATTTTCAGCCTTTCTTCCTTTCGTCTCTGTAGTGGTTCTCAGGTGTCGATGCCCATGCTGGTGAGCTGGAGGCCGGCACTTGTCAACGTGCCATTGAGATTTTCCCAGCTCCTTCTTCAGATGGGCAGATCTGTTGGAAGCATGTTATCTTTCATACAACTGTCTTCAATAAGAAGAAAATCTCCTAATTGCTGGCTTTCTGGTCGCTCCTGAAACCTCTGCCCTCAATGGGTGCAAATAATAGAAGAATCAGTTCTGCCCTGTGGTTCCTGTTAAGGTTACACCTAAATTGTCTCTGAAAAATAATTGTCTGTTCTGTTGAAGGAAATGTTTAAACTTCCTCTGATTTTAATGTCTAATAAACCCTTAGCAAGAGGAAGTTTATTCTTATGTACAAATTACCATGGGCAAATTATGCCTTGTTTCCTATTTTATTTTGCTAATTAGGGATGGAAGATTGCTGATCAGCTCACTCTATGCATGGCATCGACTTGAATAGATTTAAAAAAAATGATCAGATGCTTTGCAGCAGTTTTAAGCCTGGCTTTGATTCAGTATCTGGATAAAGTCTCCACATATACTGACATTTATGTATCCTCCATTTTATTTTTATATTCCTCTTGGCACATGCAGAGCTAAAAAATTTGAATTTCTGTTGTTAAGTATATAGACTTGGTGATGTTTGGATTTATAAAGGTGGGTAGTCTGCAAAGTAATTCCCTGTTGGTCGGGAAGTTCAGGAGTAAAAAACGGCTGTGCTGTACTTAATCTTTCATCCCACTAATTTTTCTTAAATCATATAAAATCCATTTATGGGTTTTTTTTCCTGTAAGTCTAATTTATATTTGAAGATTTATGCTAGGGGAAACTTCGGGAGTTTTTTTTGTTTTTGTTTTTTGTTTTTAAAGAGCCATAAACTTTCTGGACAAACAGTATGTTAGGGCAACCAAATGATTGGTGGGGGAAGGTGTTTCTTCTGGAAGACTTCCATATAGAAGGAGTGATAGAATTAGACCCCACCCTTTTATAACTCTAATGGAATAGGGGATCCAGACAGACATTGACAGTGTCTGGTAAAACTATGTAGTGAAAGATCGATGAGGAGCTTTATAATGGGTGATCAGATTGACAATATGGGAGCCCACCATCTTTCTTACTACAGCTGAGAGCAGACAGGTAGATACTGTGTGCTTCTGATGTGAAAAAATGGTAAGCACTCAGCCTCACCTCATCACCTGTGAAGTGTTCTTGTCAGTGGTACTGACCTGCGTCTAAGCAAGCCTCTAACTTTCCTACCAGAACACAGGGAAGCAGAGAAGATGGATCTGGGGTTGTCAACATCGACTGCACAGTAGACTCACATGGGGGATTTTTAAATATCTGATACCCAGGTTATGCCCCAAACCAATTAAATGAGCTCTTGGCCTGGATATCGGTATTTTTTTCTAGTTCCCCCAGATGTTACAGTGCAAACCAAGGCTGGAAACCAGGGGAATCGAAGCGCAAGTTAAAAGATAAGACAAAACAATCATGAAAATGTGAGAATGTGAGAAATTCCACAGGACAAATAACCAGGGTTTTACAACACATTTACGTAGCATGAGAAGAAACACTTGTAAATTAAAAGAGATTTAAGAAACATAAACCCGATGTGGTGTATGGTCTTTTTTTTGATCCGGATTCGAAGGAATCAGCCATATCAAGACACATTCTAAAGAATCAGGAGAACTTCAATACAGACTGAGTATATTCGGGATAATATGACATTGAGCATTGGTTTTGTAATTTGTGATGATGGTTTTGTGGTTATGTGGAAAAAAGTCCTTATAGTTAGAGATATATACTGAAGTATCTACAGATGAAATATGATGTCTGGGATTTGTTTTAAAATACTCTAGCAAGAGATGGTGAGGGGATTCATAAAAACAGATACGAAAGATTGATAAGAGGTTGATAATGGTTAAAAGTTGGGTGAAACGTACATGGGGGTTCATTTTACTATTCTTTCTACTTTTGTGTGTTTAAAAAATTCACATAAAAGATGAAAAAGAAGGCATAAAGGTGAAATCTCTAACATCTCTTGCACTGTGATGGATTATCGGTACGAAGTCTGTGAAATTCATATGGAATATAAACCTGCAATAAAATAAAGTCTAGCCCTCTGTGTCCATGCAAAACAGCCCTGCTTCTTTTCCAAAAAAAATATTGATACATGCAGTTATGAATTATGTTTGTATCTTGTTTGCAGATGATTCTGGGCTGCCTCCTTCTACTGTTATCAACCAAAATGACACTTTCGCCAAAGTCACTTTTAAGCCAAGTGTGGTCCAACAAGCCAGGATTGCTCAGAATGGCATTTTGGGAGATTTCATCATTAGATATGATGTCAACAGGGAACAGAGCATTGGGGACATCCAGGTAATGGGCTCATTGTTGCCATTTTGTGTTAGTTGCTTGATACTTTTAGTTAGAACGAGGATTCCAGTTCTTATCTAAGGGAGGGAGAACTTTCTGGTTCTTAGAAATTTGTTTTAACCTAAAATATGTCTCCAAGGGGACTAGCGTGTTCCCTTCCTATTACCTGCTTCAGTAATCTGGAGAGCAAATGAGATCTGTAATGTAATTTTCCCTGCGGTGTTTTAGATGAAGTTAGAATTTTAGTTCATCTTCAATTTTAATTAAGAGAGCCTGGTCCATGGCTCATTTCCCTTTAGGTTTTATGGCTCCAGAGACAGGGTGGGTGGGAATATTAAGATGCATTAGCACGCATCCAGAATGTAGACAACTTTGACATCTCAACTTGTAAAAACCACATATTAGGAAGCAGGAATTCCAAGTGGCAAGGGCCATAGGGGGTGGATAATTAAAATTGAATTAGTCAACATAGGCGGTAAGTTTTAAAGGGATGATTTTATCTTTATAAAATCTGTTTCATGTGTTTCATTCATTGTAGAAGTTATATAGACTCTCCATTTTAGGTAGTTTTCCTGCCTATTCCAGGCACATTTTTACTTTCTCTTCCTCCACCAGGTTCTAAATGGCTATTTTGTGCACTACTTTGCCCCCAAAGACCTACCTCCTTTGCCCAAGAACGTGGTATTTGTGCTTGACAGCAGTGCCTCCATGGTAGGAACCAAGCTCCGGCAGGTGAGTGAGGCCAACTGCCAATTTTATTCTTTCTCACTTTTGCCTGGAACCTTGATGCACTCTGTGAATAAAATTCAGTTGATGCCAAATGTCTGCTTTACCAGCCAGCTATTCCTGCCTACACAGAACCTTTCTGAACTGATGATCCAATTCAGCCATTGACATAAACTATCATTTAGGATGGTGTTTAAAAAAAAGAGAGAGAGAGAGAGAGCAGAGGGGCATGTATAGAGACACTTTGAAAAAAAGGGGACTGGAAAACTAGATAATGTGAGACAGGAATACGCTGAGAGGGACACTCACCAGCACTATTGTTGATGGAATAATTCTGTGTGGTAATCATGTCCTTTCAGAGCAATGGAAGAGAGTCATTGGCAGCCCTGTTGGCCTACCCTTAGAACAAAGAACTTCCATCTCAATAATTCAGGAGTGAAATTCTTATAGCATTTAGGATAAATGTTAAAATTCTAGGGATAGGAGGGACATTAAGGGACATGTAGTCTATGCCGAAATATTAAACTATATTGAAAATATAAGTATTAAAATTTTTTTAAAAAGCCACTGGAAAGGGCTATTCCTTATCTTGCTCTGGTATCATAAAATATCACAAATTTGCTTTTATAATATAGTTTCAACTCACATAACAGAAAACAAAAAAAGCTACTGGCTGCCAGATCAAATTATAATTCTACATTCATCAAACACTTAGTTCTCTTAGTTTTTCTATCTTAACTCATTATCTATTTTTATCAATTAATAATAAATATGTGGTTTAATAGTCCCTCATACCTCAAAAGAACCCTCTACCCTACCTCCTTCCACCCCTACATCCTATTCCACATGTAGTTGAACCTGATCTTAGCTGATAAACTCTTGTAAATATTTTCTCTCAGTTACTACTTTGTAAGTTCTTTCCTTGGCTGTTTATATTTAAAAAATCATGTAGAATCTGTTGATTTTTTTTCTTCATGGCATCTTATTTTTCTCCACCCCAAAATAGTAAAAAATACATTCTATGCAAAATAGGGTTTAACTCTTTTCTTTCAGAAGATTGCCAGATATAATTTCTAACTTGTATAGGAGCAAGATAACTTCGCCCTGTCAGTCAGTTCCATGTAGTTCTTCCACATCACATCCTTGTACAGAATTCAACCTGCTAACTTCTCCACTTTGATTGCTTTTCCTTCCTTTTGCGTCTCTGACCTTCCATCTGGGATTACTTTTCTTTTGCCTAAAGAATACTCATCGGAGTCTTCTTAAATGTGGGTCTGCCAGTAAAGAATTCTCTTGGTTTTTGCTTGTCTGAAAATCATGTATTTCATTCTCATTCTTGACGGATATTTTTATTGGGAATGGAATTCTGCGTTGACAGTGATTTTCTTTCCATTGAAGATAGATCCCAATGTCTCTGGGCTTCCATTGTTACTGTTGATAAGTCAGTAATCATATTAACTGTTGTTCCTCTAAACGTAATCTTTTATTGTTGACTGTTTTTAAGATTTTCCTCTTTATCTTAAATTTTCTGTACTTATAATATGATGATTTCAGAGATGGATTTCTTTCCTTTTTTTTTTTTTCTGCCTGAGGTTGCTAGGACTTCATGAATTTGTGGATTCATGGGAAAATCCTCAGCCATTATTTTTGAAATCCCATTGGCTCACTTCTTCTGGGATTCCAGTGTTAGAAACGTATCCTGTTTCCCTTGCTCTCTTCTATTTATTCCTACTTTTGCCTTTCCAAACTTCATTCCAAACCTATCTTACAGTTCACAGATTCTCTTTTCAGGTATGTCCAGTCTGCTCTCAAACTCATCCATTGGGTTATATCAGTTATTGCATTTTTTAATTCTAGAATTTCCATTTGGTTCTTTTCAAATTTGTTCTGTCACTTTTTAGAATGTTTAGTTATTTCACAAAGTTTTTAATAACATTTTTTATTTTCTCGAGCATCATAAACATAGTTATTTTAAAGTCCATATCTGATCATTCCAAACTTGAGCCCCTTGGGAGCTGCTTTTATTATTTTTCTTCTCTCCTTGTGTGACTGGTCATTTATGATTGCATGATGAACATTATATTCAAACATTTGTTTTTAGAAATAGTTGAAGGCTTAGGATGATGATCTTTTCTGCTAGAGAAAGTTAGGGATGTTTTTGTCAGGTACCTGGAGGATTATAATTTGGGATCATTTTTTTTAAAGATTTCTTTACTTATTTTAGAGAGCGCGTGCAAGTGGGGAGAGGAGCGGAGCCCGCATGAGTGCAGAGCCCAATGCAGGGCTTGATCCAGCAACCCTGAGATTATGACCTGAGCTGAAATCAAGAATTGGCCACTTAACCAACTGAGCCACCCAGGCACCTCAATCTGGGATCATTTTAGTCCATTTTCAGGGCTTGGGATTTTTCTGGGCAGCCCAGATGGCTCAAAGCTGGATTGCAGTCCTTTCAAGACTGGTTTATTTCTGTATAGCACAAAATGTAGAGGTTTACCAGAGCACCCATCCCTGGTGGGCTCTGGACTTCAACTTTTGACCCCCTAAGCTACTAAAGTGATGCTCAGCTTCTCAGATACTTCTTTGGCCTTGACAAACATCCTTTAGATAAAAGTGATCCCAAATGCTGAGACTGCCTCTTTAAATTTTCATCTTTCCCAGCAGCTTGAGTGACTCATATCTTTAGCCATCTGAGTCACATCAGGCTTTAACCTCAAACCCAATCCGTTCTAGTGCCCAGGATCTTCCACTTCCAGTGGGAGAACAATCAAGAACCTTCTTACTAAACTCTCAGAAAGGTAAATCCTGCCCCAAATTGTTCAGAGAAAACCAGTGAACTAAATCAGGATCTCTTAGACTCACCATTAATGATAAAATAAAATCAGGCACTTCTTAAAAATATAGCATGGAACATTTTCACCACGGGAGGCATCATGCTAAAGGTATTACATGAATTATTGGATAAAAGAATATTTAATCTTTGTAACAATTTGGCCGTCATCCCCATTTTAATGATGGGGAAACTGAGGCTTTACACTGGTGGATAACTCAGTTAGTCAGTGGCAGGGCTGGCTCCAAAGCCCGGTCTGACTCTGAGGCCCATGCATCAAACCACAATGGCGTGGCATTGGTGCAGGTTAGTGGTGTGATGGGACAGTGCTCTCGTGTACAAGGGTAGAAGGTGCCTGCGGATCCAAGGTGAGTGCAGTTTGACATCTCAAGAGCCAGTGAAGACAGATGCATTTCGGGAGGGATTTCCATGCACTGTGCAAGAGCAGTGTAACGGTAGACGTCACTCCAGTTGCTATCCTCCCCTCCTCCCTCATTCCTGGATATTAAAATTCCATTACTTGCTGGGCACTGAAAGTCTGTCATGCAGTCTGCTGGCTTCTAAGCGACAGCATGGCCTCCTTCCAGGAGAACCACCCTGGACCAGCCAAACACATGTCAGAAGCCTCGAGGAAGTTTCTAAAGCCTGTTGCTGCCTTGGAGTGTTTGGAAAACTGCTGATTGTTGTAGCAGCGCTCAGCTCCTCCAAGGCCACAGTGCTGAGTGAAAAGCTTGGTTGATGGTGGAACCTTATACACAATGTCATGGCCACTGGTGAAGAGGAAGATGGCTCCAAGCACAGGGCTTTCACGGTGTGTCAACAGGCTTGGCAACATCGGACATTTGTCACAAGTCCCCTCGGCTCCTATCATTCCCTGTCACACGGGGTGGTGGGGGCTGATTCTTGGCTCCCCTCATCGTTGACGGGTCCGAAGTACTTCACTTTGCTCATCCCAGTGAAGGGCACAGGGTTGGTATTGAATAATTCGAACAACTGACTTATAAAGAATTGTAAGATTTTTTTAACCTTAAAATGTATCCTCCCTAAAGGGTATGTCAGCACCTGGGCACTTTCTGGTTCTGGTCCTAATCCCAGTGGGAATGAGAGCCTGGAAGCCAGGACTTGACTGGCTTAGGAACAGCGACAGAGCCTCCTGCAGGTTGCTGGTGCATGACTTCGCTTTGCTTTCTATCCCGCGAGCCTCTGTCGGCGAATCTGCTGCGAGAGAGGCTTCACGCTAGGTCAGGCAAGATTTCTGCCTCCCGATTTCAGCTTATAAAACCTCTCAGTGAGAGGAGGGGCTGAGAAGAGCCACAGAAAATGTGATCAGCGTAGCCCTTTCTTTCCTGATTCCTTTCAGGTGTAAAGCCCTGGCACTAGCAAATACACGTCCTTGGGAACAGAAGGAGAATACGTGTGTGAAATACGTTATTCCTCGACCAAGGTTTACATGTTCTTCTCTTCCCTTTCCCTAATCTATGTAACTAGATCTACTTTCGCTTTCATATTAAGGAACTTGGTTGAGGGACTCTCTCTGGCAACCAAGCAGAGGCTAATGGATCGTTTACCAGATGCTTTCGTGCTACAACTTTCTACAGACTCGTTCCCATCATCTGTGCCATTCTGGGCTAATCCTAGATTCCCCTGGAGCTTTTGGAAGTTTGTCTTCCTTTTTCCATTGAATTTAGTCATCAGTTTTGGAGGGTAGAGAACAAGCATGATGTTTCTTATCTGTAATTGCCAGATTAAAGTGAGGGGAGACGTGAACGTTGCTTGTGCTCATTCATTGGCTTACTTCATGCTCTAGGTCATCAGTTTCATCTTCATGTCCAAAATTCAGCTTCCAAGAGGCATTTGGGCATTTTATGCGCAACCCTATAGGCAAATAGCCTGTCTGTAAGCTCCATAGATTTGGGAAGCATCTTGTTTTTGGTCATTAGCGTACATATTCCCAGTGCCCAGCACTGGGCCTGACACTTAGCAGGTAATGATTTTTGCTGAAATACATACCAGCACATAAACATTAAATGCGGAGCACGCTTTTGAGTCAGAGTACGTACCATGGAGTGGCCAGTATGTACCAAGCACTTGAAACATTTTACATACATTTTTTCATTGAATCTTTCAGTAATCCAGTGAAATAGACATTGTTATCCCCTTCTTATAAACGAGAAGGTGAGGGGCAGGGAGGTGACATCGCTATGCTAAATACAGAACGCTGTAAGTAGGGAAGTTCAGCATCAAGCGCAGTCTCCCCCAGCTCTTCCCTATACCATTCTTCACTGTACCATTAGACATAGACCCTAACATCAGACCACCTCTCAAGAGGACAGGCTCTACCTGTCCTCAGGGCCAAGTGATGTGATGGGGGTGAGTGCACACAGATGTCAGTTGCCCTGAGAGGCTAAGAGGCTTCAACCAGCAGCTGGTGTCATGAATGGAGCTGTTCTGCTCTGATGCATAGAATTAACTATTAGAGATTTATTATTTAACTTTAAGCACACTGTGGCCATGGACAGGGATGCAGACATCTTTCCTTTCACGATTTGGGTTGGACAGGCTGAGTGCCAGCCTGGAGACAGCAGGGGTGGGGAGAGAAGGACGACATTGGTGACTATGAGGCCCGTGTGGTCATGACCTTCATTCCAGCTGTCTTCTTCAAGAACGTGTGGATCTACCACAGTTTGAAAGGGAAGATGTTGGAAAAACATTAGGTTGTCAAGAAAGTAACTTTCATGTGATGGGGATCAAAGGAAGGGCAGCCTGAGTGTCAGTGAGTGGCCAGGAAGACTGCCAGACAAGGCCAGCGAGCCCAGAGGGCATCAGGCGAGTAGTGACCTGGTTAGAGGAGACAGCTACCTGAACAAGTGAAGGAGCTCAGGAAAGGAGGATGCAGGAAGGCCAAATGAGATCGTGTCTCGGAAATTTGGAGGGTCTCAGAGATAGGCACTATATGGCTCTCGAACGAATAAAAATGGATGGTGGAAGGTTTGGGTTCTCCTGCTTACCCTTTCAGGCTATAGGCCTTGTTGTAAACATCTGAAAGCATGGCTTCAGCTAATAATAAGAATGTCTAGCTTCCCCCGTCCGGTTTTCTAGAACAAGGGTCATCAAACTTTTTCAGTGGCGACAGATAGTGAATATCTTCAGCTTTGCAGACTACATGGTCTCTGTCCTGCTCAGGTGCGCTGCCTAGCACAGAGACAGACACAGGCCAGCCACAGGCCATCTGCACAGAAGAAACAATGGGCAGCAGGCTGGATTTGGCCCGCAGGCCATCGTTTGCTGACCCCTGGTCCGCAGGGATGACTAATGGGCAGGGCTAGAGATAATTCCAGTTGGTACTATTTATTCTCGTCTACTGAGCTGCTCTTGTCCAAACATGGCCACCAGCAGATGCGTGGGTCAGAAATACATTGCAAAACAGAGATCTGGGGCTTCGGGCAGGGGACAGAAGGCAGTGGGGAAAATGTGTTTTTGACTCTGACTCAGAATATGAGGAAATAATTGATGGACAGAGGGCACAGTATTCTTTCCCCTAGGTCACAACTGAAAACTTGGATTTTTTATTTCAGAAAGATTCGCCCCTCCACAAAGATGATATCATTTTAAATAGGTTGGAGGTACCCATTTAAAAAACTTTTTGTTGAGGCAGTTAAGATTTACCCAAATGAGGCCACGTTTAAAAAGTTCTGAGGCTCTCTGAATGAAGGCGCTGTATGGCTCCCATACAAAGAAAAAGTGAACAAGCTAGAGCTCTGAGTTGTCCCCCACGATCCATTTAGGGGGTAGTCCTCCTAGTCAGCATCTGATGGCATGGTCCTGGTGTCACCAAAAAGCCTAGCTTCTGCTTTCTGGCGTCCTAATTTTGTACTCAAGTCTCTCAGATCAGCAGACTTTCTCTGTAAAGGGCTGGGGAGGGCCCAAAAGGAAACTTGCTACAAGTAACAAGGAGACAAATTGCACAAGATAACACATGTGGGAGTCGTAACAGGGATTGCCCACCCACGCCTGGTGGAATGCCTCAGCACTGCCCCTGCCCCATAGTGCGGCAGCCCCCTTCCCTCCTGCAGGACGCCCGACTCGGCCTCCCGATCCCATCTTGGCTTTGGCTGCACACTCCAGATTCTCAAGGAATGAGACAAATATTGATTATATGCCATGGGAGAGGTATTGGCAGAGGGGATACAAAGATAAATACGACAGAACATTTTCTCTTGAGGCACCCGGGGAGAAGCGAAGTCATGCGACGGTTGTATGCAGAGCCCTCCCTGTGGTAGAGATGTGTGTATGGTCTGGTCATGGCACAGAGCGGGTGCCCATCAGTCCTTTGTAGGAGTGGAGAAGGGGATTGTGGACTTTTCAGAGCAGGGGTAGTGGAGCCTTAAAGGTCTTTTAGAAGTTAGTCAAGTTGGTGGGGTGGGAACGGATAGAGGAGCCAAACAGAGGGGGATGGATAGCATGTGCAAAGCATGGAAGCAAGAGAAAACGTGTACCGGAGAAGCCTACTTAAGTCACTCTAATTAAGGACCTCAGAAAAAAGAAAATGAAAACAGAGGGGGAGGCAAACCATTAAGAGACTCCTAGCTGTAGGAAACAAACTGAGGGTTGCTGTAGGTGGGGTGATGGGCATGAAGGAGGGCACGTGATGTGATGAGCACTGGGTGTTCTATGCAACTGATGAATCACTGACCTCTAACTCTGAAACTAATGATATACTATATGTTGATTAAATTGAATTTAAATTTAAAAAAAAATTTTAAAAGGACCTTAGACTTTTGCTGGAGAAAAGAAATATGCAACAATCACATGTTCATCAAACCAACATGTCACATAGACAGTGGAAAGAATTTTAGGGACAATAAAGAGTTTGAAGTAGTCAACAAAAGATTAATGACAGAGGTGACATAGAAACTAGTCCTTAAAGATGCAACACAGTTTTCTTTTTTTTTTTTTAAGATTTTATTTATTTGAGAGAGAGAGAGAGTGCATGAGTGGGGGGGAGGGGGAGGGGTAGAGGGAGAGGGAGCAGGAGACTCCCTGCTGAGCAGGGACTTGATCCCAGGACCCCAGGATCATGACCTGAGCCAAAGGCAGACGCTTAACCAACTGAGCCATCCGGGCGCCCCTAGGGCATAGTTTTCTTGACAGGAAAGGAGGGAGTGAATTCTTGGCTGAGGAAAAACATGAAAAAAGTCATGAAGCAAGAGTGAATATGCCATTGTGGAAAGTGGGGCTTAGAGCCTGAGACCCTTGCATAAAGCTGGTTCCTTTGAAGGACAGCCCTGTTGGTGGAACAGTGGGCAGAGGAAAACTCCTCTAGTTCTCCAGAATGAGTCCCCTTCTGCAAATAAGGATAAGTGTTACCAAACTCAGAAGAAAAAGTAACCAAGCCCCAAGAATGAAATTCACCTGGTTTTAGAATCTCTTCCCTCCTGCAACCAGAATCTCACTTTCCAGTCTCACAGTGTTAAGAGTATGGGAAGATGGAAGAGACACAGGGATGTCATCGCTCTCCCTGCCTGGTGGGGGATGACTCCCCTTCCTGTAAATAATTTCTTGTGGATACCATGTAGGTGTGCTGATACACTGTGTTTACTTGCTAACTGTTCCACTGTTTGATATCTAGCATGGCTTTTTCTCAGCCTCCCCAATCTTTCTGTTATGTTCTCGGTGTTTGTCACATCCCCGGAGATTTATAGCGAGGGCATAAGGTGGACCCATGCCAGGGAAATGGGAATCATGAGAACTCACATGTAGGAGAAAGGTGAATGAGTCAAAGGGCAGTCAAAGAGTCAGACGCCAAAAAAAAATCTGTAGAATGAAACAGGCAGGGCTCCAGAATCCAAACATGCAGTTGGGCAATATAAACTTAACAATTTAGACCAGGCACGGGGGGACTGAGGATTCAGTCATGTCGATCAGTAGGTGTGTCAGAACATGGATGAAGGACACCAGTTACAAAGGAGACGTGTAAAAGTAGGTGAAAATCTCTTGGTCAGCATCCTCTTATTTACTTCCTGTCAGAGCAGGAAGCCACACCTGCGGATGGCCACGGGGAGTCTGCAGATAGAGGTGGGAGGGCTGCATCCTTGGCCAGGGTGAGAAATGTGGGATCAACACTGAGAGCAAATCCTGAGTAGTATTAACCTGACTTATGAAGAGAAGTGAAAAAATAATCTGTTTTGAGCCTTGAGTTATTTACACATAAAGCATGAAAAATGGATGTGCTTAATCTCTAAAAAATCAAAGATGTTAATGTTATTGGCAGAGAGCCTTTTAGAAAAATGTACAACGACATTATTAGGCAAATGTTTCATACATTTGTCAAAAAAAAGTCCAAACATTAGGTAATGAATCTTAACATTAGCCAGAGCATTAACATGAGAGATCATTTGCTTCTCAAGTTAGATTAAGGTTATTCAAACACAAAGACTCGTGAAATGTGGTTATGTTTATATTGCAAAGGATATTCTAATATCTAAACCTATTCAGACCTTTTTTTTTTTATTTTGATTAAGGCTGAATTTAGCCAGAATTTAGTGTTTAACAAACATTTTCTTTTAGATCCAGTCCTGAAGTAATACCTATATTTAGCCTAAGAAGGTGTTTTTCTCTATGAAATAACCGCCACTTTATATTTTTATACAGATCAGGCAAAAGCGTAAGTAATTAGGTATCAGAACAGAGCTGCTGTATATAACCTCGCACACTATTGCACTGAAAGAGCATTTGAAATTAGAATCCAAACAGTAAAGAAAATTACAGCGTAAAATCATACACTTTTAAATACAGGAATCGTACAATTTTGCTTAATTTAATATTCCCTTCTTACTAGTATGAGCATTAAAATGTAGAGACCAAAGAAATAGTGTTTTCTACGTTTACTCCTGGGTGAAATTTCAAGTTACTATTTAGCATCTACTAAACTTTGAAAGCATTAGAAGATGTGATGACTTCTATTCCAAATTTTCCATTTATATAAAGCCAACTTCTAGTTTCTACTCTTTTTGTAAAGAACATATTGGCCACTAGAAAAAGAGTTTTAGCTTCTTCCAACAAGATTCCTCAAA